GATATCTTTTGATGCCATAGGCTGTAATAATTTTTAGGTTAGGACAAACAGAGGCTTGTTTACTTACAAAGCCATACAACAATATATGTATGTATGTATGTAGGTATGTAATATTTGTATGGAGCATCTGGAATATTTTATTTTCATGGTTTTATAGCAATGGATTAGCAAACAAAGCACAAATTATATATATATATATATATATGTACACACACACACATATATATATATATATATATATATTACAGAGGAAGATTATCATAGAAACATTTACTTCAAAAGAGACCAGGAAACACAGAGTTTAATATTTTATTTACTTTTCCCCTAAGAGATAGAAACACCCATTTGCTGAAGCAGAATCCTCCCATAAACAATAATAAAAACTGCATTATGTATTTTAATGGTATGCAATCCTTATAACTTGAGGAATTAAAGAAAACCATTGCAAGCTTAAAATCCTTTCTTTTTAAACAGTTAACTTGTAAGTGTGTAATCAGGTGATCGCTGATTATAGATTCAAATCCAAAAAGAATAATAGATATTTAACTCCAAAAGGAATAAGAAGAGCAAAATAATTCTACCTTCTTATTAATTTTGTATGTACACGTGTTTATACGTTATACGTATTTAATGTGTAACATCAGAAGACAATGACTGCTGATCCCCAGTGAAGAGCATCAAAAGTATTGATGACAATCATAACAGATGATACTGATAGTGACTTGATTCTAGGATGCACAGCCATTTACATTTTAGTATCTCTGGTATCAAAAGGTATCACAATTTCCCTTTGATCTGGGTTGAAGTTACTTTTTCCAGAAGGAATTCTTCCTTATTTCTGCCACATATGTGACACTACTAACCTGATGCCTATGTATATTAAACCTTCTGTCTAAAGATTTGTGTCTACCCTGGTAGTGGGAACTAAAAAACTAAACTTTCTTAAGGACTACTTTATGTTTTAAGTAGTGGATTTTCCCCATTTTCCTTTCTCCCATGATTTTTATTAAAGGAGACAACTTTCCTTACTATCTTCATTTGTATGGGAGTTTATCATTTAGCTACTACTGAATCATTTTCATTCTTCGCCCCACGCCACAATCTTTTATTAGACTACTCATCCTGAAGAGTTTTTCTTGCTTAACAGCATATAAAATTTTGAGACATTTTATATTCTGTATTCGTTTCTGACTTGACAAAATTTGTTAATTTATTGAAGTTGGGGATTTTATTAAGGATGACATCAGCTCATTCATCACATCTTAAAGTTCCTCTGGGTGAAATGCTCAGATTTGTAGTTGGAAGAGGGTAAAACACAGGCCATTATACACTGCTACAAAATACTAAATTTATAGCTTAGTGGACCATAAAGATGGCACTGCCAAAGATACTTTATGAAATTTGGGAATTATTTTGATGCCAACCATGACATAAATCGAGATGGACTTGCTGTGGAGACACTTTGGAAGATTGACTTCTATGAATATTTTACTGTGAGATGCTAAAAGAGAAATGCCAGCATGCAGAATAGCCAAGAAAACTATTAGGAAGTGAAATTCAATGAAGCCTTTAAAGTAGAAGATAGAACATGAAGTATTTCAAAGATCCAGAAAGCTAAGATGATGTTATGATTTAAAATAATGTTGGTATTTATGATGTAGCTTTTCCTTTCTGGACATATAAATCATAGTATAGCTCATTTTGGTTTCTAAGCAAGAGGGAATCAGAGATACGTAGGAAGGAAATTGAGTGGGCCAGTCATTTTCTTGAATGCAAATTTGGCCAAGTTCCAATTTTATCCAAAGCAGTCATTTTAGGGAGGGGAACAGATTGGAAACAACCTGAGATTTCCCTTTAGCTTCTTGTATGAGGTGTGATTAGGATGAGAAAATCTGCTAGCACACATGCACTTTTAGGGTTTGAGTCTAAGAAATTTCTGTGTAACTGGCAGGCAGGGATGGAGAAAAGAATTCTCCTACGAAAGGGAATTGGAAAAGGTTTTCTCTTCTACCAGGACTGATTCACTGCCATTGCTACTTCATATGAGGAAGTAGTGAAGTGTAGCAAGAGAATGTTAAAGGTTACATCTAAAGGGGAATTTCTTCCACCTTAATTCTGAGTTGCTTTATATATAACCAGTCTACTGAAACCTCAGGATATGTTAAATATAGAGTGTTATACAATATGTTTACCATTACAGCTGGAAATGATCACACGGAGGTGCATAATTTGGCTTTGTGTTGCTTAGGAGCTTTCCATGAAAACTCTCATCTCTTTATTTGTTTCCATATGAATACATATATTTTATTAAATGTGAGAGGTGACATTAGCAAGACAACATCCATGATTTAACAGGGCTGGGCTCGGGAGTTTTGCCTGTTTTACTTTCAAATATTGACATCAGCTCTTTTAAGGTTCGAATGGTAAGTTTAGCCTGGCAAAGTGGGATGCCTGACTAACCTTTTAAACATTTGAAATTCACTGTAATCTGTGGGTGTGGGTGCGTTTTCTATTTGGCCAATTAACAACACAAGTAGACAAGGAACAAACGGGCCTTCACTAAAGGAATTTTATTTCTGTGGAAATTCTTAGCTTCTTTGCCCTTCCCAATTATCATAAGCATCCAAGTTGTGTCATTTCCTTACTAAAAAAGAAAAGGAAAATATCCTACATTCACTCATTATATATTCCTAGTTAAAAAAAAAAACCAAAAACCAAAAACCAAAACAAAACAAACAAAACAAACAACAAATACATGCATGAAGCCCTGGGTTCAATTCCTCAGTACCAAATAAGCAGAAATAACCAGAAGTGGTGCTGTGGCATAAGTGGTAGAGCCTTGAGCTGAAGAGCTGAGGGACAGCATCCAGGCCCAGACCTCAGACACTATGACCAACCAAACCCCAGCCTCCCAAAACAGCAACAACAACAAGACAGACAGGACAAAATTTTGTCTATAATTAAACAGTTTTGTGATTCCATTTTTCACAAATATTTCCTTTTTTATTTATCCATAGCACATCATCAACATCTGAAATACTCTTCAGACCCCATTCAGTAATCAAAGAACCTGTTTATCTAGTGTCTCACTTTTAAGAGAATTCCTTTATTTTTATATATAGACATGCCTATTTTGGACACAAATGTTACTATGCAATAGTAGTTGAATGTATTGAGTGGATTGCTAACCCAATGGAAGTTATTAGTAGAATGATATATACATACAATCTTTACTAATTCTCAAAAACATTAGTGTTCTCCATATGATGATGTTTATAAGATGTGTGTGTGTGTGTGTGTGTGTGTGTGTGTGTGTGTGTGTGCATGCTGTGCACATGTGTTTTCCAGTCCTAACTCTTGAACTCAGGGCTTGGGAACTGTCTGTAAGCTTTTTACTCAAGGATAGCATTCTATCACTTGAACCATAGCTCCACTTTGGCTTCTTGTGGTTAATAGAGACAAGAATATTTCAGACGTTCCTAACTTGTCTGGCTTCAAGCCACCTCCTGAATAGCTAGGATTACAAGTGGGATACCAACACAGTCATCTTACACACAGATTCAGAGGATGTTAACTAAATGTGTTTTTTTACCATTAGGAATGAAAGCTGGGGTGGTACTACTTGTGATAGTATCTCATTGCTTTTGTTTTTGGTGCCAGTTATGGAGCTAGAACTCAGGGACTGGATTCTATCCCATAGGATTTTTTCTCAAGGGTGTCCCTGAGCCATTGCTTTACTCCCAGTCTTTTCATGGTTAATTGGAGATAAACAGTCTCTCAGATTTCTCTGCTCCAACTGGCTTTGAAACAGGATCTTCAGATCCCAGCTTCCTGAATATCTAGGATTAGAGGTGTGAGTCAATGGTGCCAGCTGGCAGTATTTTCTTAACATGAACATTCTACATACTAGTAGCAGATAAAAGTTAAGGAAAGGGCATTAAAACAGTCAATAGGAGAATTATGCATAGTGTTTACCTTCTACTCTTAGCATTGTTAACTGAATTGTTCTTAGCATTGTTAGTTGAATTGTTCATTAGCTACATCATTGATAAATTTGCCCAGCAGAGGGAAGCATAACTTCATTATTATTGTGTTCATTAATGGCTGAAGGGGAGTAAGCATACAATATAACTGCACTGCATTTTAAATCAAAGCACTTGATGTTTCAGCATTAAATAAGTTACTTTAACATATATAGATCTTGATGTTTCATAAATGAAAGGTATATGGTCCAAACAGCCCAGTTCAAGGAAGTATCTGAGTAGTTCTTTTATTTATTTAGCAGCTTCTTTCTTCATAGCCCCTGTAAGCCTGGGACTGCTTATATATCATACTCTTGACCATCTTGTCTGTCCCCTTACTGCCTTTTATTTTTCATTGCTTGTAGTACAAGAAAGAAATAAACAAACAAAAAACTGTTGCTTTTTTTTTTTGCTATAAGAAATTTGAGCTGTAAATCTGGTATCCAAAGTCATAAATTTATCATACCTGTTATCATAAAGTGTATGTTAATGGTTTGTGTTCTTTAGTATTTTTGTTCAGATACATTTTCTTTTCTCTAGATGTATTTTTTTTCTTTTCTGTTCCTTTCTTTCTTGCTTTCTTGTTTGTTGTTTTCTTTCTTTCTTTCCTTCTTTTTTAATGCCAGTCCTGGAGCTTGAACTCAGGACCTGGCTTGAACTCAGGACCTGGGTGCTGTCTCTGAGTTTTGTTGTTCAAAACTAGCACTCTAACACTTGGGCCACAGCTCTACTTACAGCTTTTTTGATGTTTAATTGGAGATAAGAGTCTCACAAACTTTGTTACCCAGGCTTCTTTGAACTGTGATCCTCAGATCTCAACCTTCTGGGTATCTAGGATTATAGATGTGAGACACTGGCTCTCAGCTTCCAGCTGTGGTTCTTTAAGTATGTAATCCAAATGTACATGATATGCATATATATATATGTTATTGCTTATGACTGTAGCCTGGTATAAACAGGCTAAAAGTAGTGACTTACCATGGTGTTGTAAATCTGAACAGTGAGTGAGCGGGTCTCCATTTCTTATATCTTGCCGTCTTGTACGTCTAAAACAATTATTTAAAAAGTATTATTTTATGTCTACTTTTCCTCTTAGGAATTTCTCATAAGAATAAAGAGGAGTCAAAAAAATCTATATTAAGACTCCAGGAACTTAGAAGAGATGAATTTATACCCAAATGAAATACTTTTAAAAGACAGTTCTTTTTGTAACACAAAAGTATTCTCCAACATTGAGAAGCAAGTATACCAACATATTAGGAATGGATTTAAAATATCTGATATAATCAATAATAGGATATAAGTCCTTTTGCTAAAAGAGCACATTCAATCACAAAGTAAGACTTAGAAGTTTTAGGCTTATCTCCTGAAGAAAAAGGCACAAAAATTTAGGGTAGCAACATATTTTTTAAACAAACAGACTTCAAGTTTTCTCTGATTCTTATGTCTAAACTTAGAGATTAAACTTCACATGAATTTCACAATTTCCTTGTGCAAATACATAATCTTTAAATAGGCTTTTGTGAATGTTAAAATATTTAGATTGATCATTCTTTAAGTTTGATTTAAAAATTTTCTTTTGGTTATATCAACGTTTAATTAATTAATTATTTTTTTTTGTCGGTTGTGGGGCCTGAACTCTGAGCCTGGGCTTGGGCACTGTTCTTCACCTCTTCAGCTTAAGGCTACCACTTGAGCTACAGGCACTTCCAGCATTTTTGTCTTATGTGGTGCTGAGGAATTGAACCCAGGCCTCATGCATGCAAGGCAAGCGCTCTAGCACTGAGCCACCTTCCCAGTCCAAAGTGTTAAAATATTTAGACTGATCATTCTTTATTTAAGTTTGATTTAAAATTTTTCTTTTGGTAAATCAACATTTAATTTTTTTCTTTAATTTTAACATATGGTTGTGATTATAAACTGATTTGCTAATGAATGAATAAAAAGTGAAAAGCACTACATGTTGAATTTTTCCCCTTTAGCCAAAGATAGGTAAGAGAGATTTGATGAGTTATATTTAACAGAAAGCTAAATTTGTTTATAAAAAATCAAAATTTCTTTTTATATCCTATAGCTCAAAGAGGATGATAGGTTCCATACAGCTGAGCATTCTAATTGTCAACCATCATCAAGAATTGCCTAATTCTATTAACCAATCCTAATGGTTAACTGAGAAAGAGGAGGCAAACTCTTGCAATTATGGTGCAAAATAGATTTATAGTTTGAATAATATGCCATATATTGGGACTGGCTTTCTGTAATATACAAAGAGTGGAAACACTTGACTGTTTTTTTGCAGCTATTTTAATGGGTATTGTCTGGCCGCAAAACTAGTTATCATCTTTAAAAAAAAAAACCAACAGATCTCACAAAGGCCATAGAAAATTGGAAATATGGAAGTTGTTACTGTGTTCATAAATTTAGAAGTCTAAAGTATTTATAGATTTCTATTTGTAGAATTAGTGAAACTATCAAACAGATGTTGCACATTTCAAAATTGAACCAACAAGAGAACTTATGAAATATGAACCACAAAGCACTTGGAAAGACATTTTTTCACTGCCATTTATGCTTTAGAAAAGTGCCATGATAAAGAATATAAAACTTGTAAGGCCACTAAACATCTTTTCAAAAGACACATGAAATTAGATTAAGTGAAATCTGTAGGGCATAACAAAAATGTGTTAATGAAGATTCTTTCAATCTTGAATTGTATACACAATAAACATACAGGTTTTAGCTTGCTATAGAAGTCATTGTGATTTTGCTTTTATCTTCATCCTGTAAGACTTGCTTAAAATTGATTATTAACTTAAACATTACTACAAATTTTTCTTTCCAGGAAATATTTTTCATTTTTAGTTTAACATAAATCCATACTTTTATCATAATATTAAAGATCTGGAGTCATAAATCTGTGTAACTTTTTTTGTTGTTTGTGAGGCTTGAATACATAACTCTTTTAAAGAACATTAGCCATAATAAATAAAAATAAAATAATTTACATGGCTTCTAAGATAAGGAGGCTTGCTAATGCTAGTTTGTATTTTATGTTTCAAAACATTGATATACATGCTATTAATTTTTAGGCTCATATTCATTTTTTTTCAAATTTCCCTCCATTTATTTTTTTATTGTTTTTAATTACATGGGCAAGATAATGAGTACATTTCTTATCAAGCATTGTAGCCTCCTCCTTTGTTTCCCCTTCCCATCCCTTCCCATCCTCCTCCAGCTCCTCCACCCAATCCTCCCCGCCCCCCCTCCCACCAAAGTTGTAAAGTTCGTTTTCGACATAACGACTTGTACTTCTCATTGTTGCAATGGGTCCACCTGTATCCCTATTTAAACGACTTGTTTTTCCCCTTTCCCTCCACAAATTATACCAACATCAAATACAGTGAAAGCAGGGGTTATACGTGGGGGACCAAAGTTCGTTTTTCGACATAACTACTTGTACGCTTATTATTTAATAAGCCCTATGTATTATGTTCATCTGTTTCTCTCATTGCTTAAACTCTTAATCTGCTAAATATCAACAAAGAAAGGCAATAAAGAATAGAAAACATTTTAGATGGTTATTGGGCAAAATGAGGGAAGGATTTTTTTTTCTTTTTGTCAGTAATGGCGTTTGAAATCAGGGTCTGCACACTGTTCCTGAGCTCTTATGCTCAAGGTTAGTGCTCTACCACTTTGAGCCACAGCTCCACTTCTGATTTTCTAGTAATTAATGGATTCCTGTCCTGGCTGGATTTGAACTGCGATCCTCAGATCTCAGCATCCTGAGTAGTAAGATTATAGGCATAAACTATTGACAGCCATCTGGAATTTTGTTTTTCAAACCACAAGTGAAATAACTTTTATAAATTTTGGAATAAGTTTAGGAATTTTCTGTATATAATGAAGTTTTTGGAAAGTAATGTTATATTAAAAATTCAAATTATTCCTACTGCATTTAATCATACAATATTTCACAGTATATTTAATCTAAATACACTATCCATTAATTTCTAGGTATATATAAGGAACTGTTATTCAAACATGCCCCCAGTAGTTTTAAGTGTTGCCAAGAACATATGTAAAATGTATATTAAATGCACACAGATAGATGGACATGTTGTACATGTTTTTATATTTCAGGTTCCAACTTTGCAAACATAAGAAAATATAATAATTGTAGAATGATATTTAAAAATTGGTGTGCAAATTAATATATTTGGGAATGCTAATTTTTTTTTTCTTTTTGGGTCCGGTCGTGGGGCCTGAACTCTGGGCCTGGGCGCTGTCCCTCAGCTCTTCAGCACAAGGCTAGCACTCTACCACTTGAGCCACAGGGCCTCAGGCATGCAAGGCAAGCTCTCTACCACTGAGCCACCTTCCCAGCCCCCGGGGAGGCTAATTAACCAACATTGTTGTGTCTTAATGTATCAAATACAAAACATAAGGGATGTGTGTGTGTGTGAGTGTGTGTGTGTCGGTTGCATGGCTTGAACTCTGGGCCTGGGCACATATCCTTGAGCATTTCAGCTCAAGGTGATCATCCTACCAGTTGAGCCACAGCACCACGTCCGGTTTTCTAGTGGTTAATTTGTTTCTATCATATTTATAAGATGATTTGTATGTTGCTTTGCATGTCCCTCCTCCACAGTATAACCCATACTTTCACTGTATTTGATGTTGGTATAATTTGTGAAGGGGAAGGGAAAAAAAAAAACAAATCGTTTAACTAGGGATACAGGTGGACCCATTGCAACAATGAGATGTACAAGTCGTTACGTTGAAAAACAAACAACTTTGGTGGTGGGTGGGGGGAGGTTCGGGTCGTGGGAGGGGAGGAGTATGGGAAGGGATGGGAAGGGGAAACAAGGGGGAGGCAACAATGCTTGATAAGAAATGTACTCGTTATCTTGCCCATGTAATTGTAACCCCTATGTACGGTATTCTCAAAATAAATAAATAAATAAATAAATGAATCTCATGGACTTCCCTGCCGGGACTGGCGATCTTCAGATCTCAGACTCTTGAGTAGCTAGGATTATAGGCATGAGCCACCGGCACTGGGCTAAAACATATTTTTGGGGGGGCGGGGAGGTTATTTATTTTTTTAATAAGTTTTTTATTGTAAAAATACTGTACAGAGGGGTTACAATCACATGAGCAAGATAGTGAGTACATTTCTTGTCAAGCATTGTTGCCTCCTCCTTTGTTTTTCCCCTATCATCCCTTCCCTCCCATCTCCACTACTATATTCCTCCCTCTCCCAGATCCCCTCACACACCCCCTCGCCTAAATTGTAAGGTTCGTTTTTCGACATAGCCTCGTGTACATCTCATTGTTGCAATGGCTCCACCTGTATCCCTATTTAAACGATTTGTTTTATCTGAGACAAGCAGAAAAGGTCAGATAAGATGATGTTAAGCGAAATGAACCCCAAGATAAGGACACAAGTGCTTTTATCTTTCTTGTTATTGTTTCTAACATATTTATAATGTATTTATACCATGTGATTTTTTGTTGCTTTGTATGTTCCTCCCCCACAGTATAACCCCTGTTTTTCATTGTATTTGATGTTGGTATAATTTGGGGAGCGGAAGGGATAAAACATTTTTAAAACTAGATTTCTTTCTTTCTTTCTTTTTGTTTTTTGGTTGGTTGTGGAGCTTGAACTCTGGGCCTGGGTGCTGTTCCTAAGCTCTTCAGCTCAAGTCAAGCACTCTACCACTTGAGCCACAGTGGCACTTCCAAAACTAGAGTTCTTTATAGCTGTGCTTATTTACATTTCTTAAGACTCCAAAAGAAACAAAGCACTTTTGTTTGAGAATTTTCTGTTTAACCAATTAAAAAAAAAAGCCCTATGGAAATTTAAGCACAATATACAATGGGTGGCATTGAGAAATCGGAGAATTTTAGGGCAATACTACGTTTTAGTTAAAAAGTACTAGACCTAGTCTCAGTTCTGTCTACAACCTCCCTGTGACCTTCATCTTGTATCCTCCAGGTGAAATTAAGCTACCAAGTCCATCACTGTGCTGTCATACATGTCCTTCATTCGTTTACGAAAGCCATTTGTTCCCCTTCACTTAGTATCTAGGTTTTCTACTATACATGTTTTCTAGTTGTTTTGTCCATTTTAAGGGAAGAAGATATAAAAAATAAAACAACTGACCTCTACCACCAACTCCCCACATCTTTCTTGCATCAGAAACAAAAGTTGATGTGCTTTATTGAAGAAAGTTGTTTTAAAATGTGGAATCCTATACATTTGGCAGCATCTATTTCATTTTTAATTTCGCCTACCTTTTTGCAGTAGGGAAATAGCGAGAGCATGATGAGCCATCCCAAGCACAGTAAGGGTCCTGAGCCAGGCAGCACTCCGCGCAGGCTTTGCCGTAAATGTCACACCGGTGCAGAGGCAGCTGCGCAACCCCGGCAGTTGAACCGACATACAGTTGTTGCTGTGGAGAGAGTTTACTCTTATGAAGAAAAGAAGTCTTGAGTTCGACATCTATAGTTATAGGTTTATTATTTTTTGTACAAAACAGTGGCTTTCATGTTGATATTTTCATGCAAGTCTATGTTGTGTACTATCATCATCTTCACCCCATTACCCTCTTTTCTTCCTCCTGCTAGTCCTCTTCTCCCCAAACTATCCCCTTTTTGCTTCCTTTTCTTTTCTTTAAATTTAGATTCTACATATGGAGAAAACGTGCTATTCGTAGGAGCTACTTAGACTTATAAACAAATAGTGTTTATGAATTTCAAAAGGCTATTATTAATACCCTCTTAAAAGCCATCTAATATGACAATTTAAATTGGAGCAAGAGCAAACTCTTAAGCATTTGATTAAACCAGATTTAAAAAAAAAATTTATTGTGAAAATACCATACATGGGGTTACAGTTACATGAGCAAGGTAATGAGTACATTTCTTATCAATCACTGTTGCCTCCTCCTTCGTTTCCCCTTCCCATCCCTACCCTCCCATCTCCCCATCTACCCCCCTCCCGTAAAGTTCATTTTTAAACATAACATCTTGTACATTTCATTGTTGCAATGGGTCCACCTGTATCCCCATTTAAACAATTTTAAACCAGATATTTTTATTAATCCTAAGAATAAAGAAAAATACATGTGTAGATGCTCCATTTTATGTTCTTAATAATTTTCTTTTCTACTTCTATTTTTCATTTAGATGAACCAAAGCAATGGTTTAATCATAATTCTGGCTATGCATTCTGGACTGTCTTGAAAACACATTTTGATCCTGATGCCCGGCTGCCCTATTACATTGCCAAGGAAGTATAATACCCTCTACTGAGCAGGGTAAGGTAGAACTAGGGGGTGACACTTGAAAAATTTGTGATTCAACACCAAAAACCTACCTTGGAAAATAATTTTAAATAGCACTACAAATTACATCACATGGAAAATATCATCAGATGGGAAACAGATACCATTGGTGCCACTTACAAATTAAAAGTTAATATGTATGGACTAAGCACTGGTGTCAGTGAGCTTGGCAACTTGATCTTACCATACCTTAACTCTGTGCTCTGCAGACATTCACATAGAAATTTCTAAAGACTAATGTCCTTATCCAAAGAACGAGTTTAATTCACTGCATGAGTTCATTTATGTAGTCACCAGATAAACCATGAAATTGTAGCCATTGAATGAGATAGAATACAGAATATTAAGGACATTTCTAGCAACTATTACTTTAAGATTTCAATACCCCCTTGAAAATTCTCTGAATAAAGTTGAACTATATAACATATGTCGCATGACACAAAACAAAATAAAAAGTAGAATTATTTTCTGATTTATCCTCAGCATATCCTAATTGGTTCCATCACTCCTTTTACTTGAACTAGAGAATTGATTAATTAGAGTAAGCCTTAAATAAAAATTATGTACATGTGGAAACAGGTAATGGTAATACACAAGTAAAAAGACTTCAAAAAGGTGCTATAATGTCTCCAGTATGTAGATGTAGAACAAGTTTCAGGAAAGTCTACAGTTGTATGCTCTTTTAACGTTAGAGAATTTAAAGTTGCACTTAAATTGACATAGTTAAAATTGTGTTTCCAAAGACTTCCATTTGTGAATTATAAAAAGAGATAATTTGAATGCAGACTGAAGTATCTATTAGAATGTAAGAAATTATTAAGGGGATAAGAGATGTTTATGAAAATACTTAAAGATAAACATATACTTATATTTTAATATCAGAGGACTAGAAGCATGGCTCAAATGTTAGCATGCCAGAGAGGATTGGAAAATATGAGCAAGAGCAAATGAGTCTCTGAGTTCAAACCCTGGTATCATCACATGCAAAACAAACAAACAAATGTTGCAGAATGTTTGAAATCAGAAAAGTAAAAGGTTAAAATAATATTACTAAAATTAAACCATTGTAGAAGCACTCATTCTGGTAAATGCTACTTTACTTTAATAAATAGGGAAAATAAAATTATGATATATACTACAAGATGCTCAACATATTACTATAATCAACTTAAATGTTGTATTGGATGCTGTTAAAAATCAGCAAAGTTAAGAAATGATGCTTAGAATGAAAAGGTGTCCATTCTTCCAATAGCCTTTCTTTTAAAAAAATCTTTCTAAAAACTGAATGGAAGCAATTTTAACAGGATAAAATAATGAAATAAATATACTATTTATGAAGAACAAGAGAACAGTTTAGAATGTTGTAACAAATACACAAACACATGAATGTCCTTAGTGTATACGAACACACCAAGCCAAATGAAATGATCCATCCATATTTTTTTTGGGGGGGAGTCAGTCCTGAACTATTTTTGAGAATTGAATTCTTGGCCTCTTGAACTCTTCGGGGGCCTGAACTCTGGGCCTCGGTGCTGTCCCTCAGCTGTTTAGCTCAAGGCAAGCACTCTACCACTTGAGTCATAGCGCCACTTCTGGTTTTCTGATGGTTAATTGGAAGTAAGAATCTCAAGGACTTTCCTCTCTGGGCTAGCTTTGAACCACGATCCTCAGATCTCGGCTTCATGAGTAGCCAGGATTACAGGTGTGAGCCACCAGCTCCTGTCTTCATCTATCCATTTTTAAAAAGTTGATGTAGCCTTTTGGGTGTTGTGGGGGCTGGGGAATCTTAGGATAATAGTTCAAATTCAGCAAGGACATGATAGTTAGTGACACTCAATTAATATAGCCACTGAAAAGCTGGGAGTGTAGCTGTGGCTAAAGTGGTGGAACATTCGTCTTCTGCAAAGAAAGCTTAAGGACAGGACACAGACCCTGAGTCCAAACCCCATAACCTGCATGCGTGAACACACACACACACACACACACAACCTGCATGCGCAAACATACACAACTACTGAACATACGAGTTACATAAGAAAAAAGCATGCCTATGCTTAGCTAATAATTCTGAAGAAGACTAAGCAAGATTCATGCATGTGCATTTTTAGATATGTGAAATCTGTGTAAGGAAAGAGCTAAATAAAATATCTAAATCTGGCATATTTCTTTAGGAGAAAAGCAGATATAGTACATTGAAACCCAGAAATATGAAAAGTGAAATATTGAAATGAGAATCTATAATATAACAAAATGCCAAAATTAAATACAATTCATTTTAACCAAAACCATAGGATTATTAACGATAAGATAAAGTAATTATGCTCTCCAAATGAAATACAGTGGAAGTTTGCAGGCACCAATGAGTACAATCCAGTTACCAGCAAGAACCCACTGTGCTTTTTCTGCCTAATTTAACATCACCACAGGCATTTTGAAGGTCCTCCTTAACAAGTCAGAGGCTCTGAGCAGGTCATCACTCTATTTATCCAGATAATGAGTTATAACACTACTCATCTCACTTGAAACAACTTTAAAAATGCCCATAAGGCTGGGTGCCAATGGCTCACGCTTGTAATTCTAGCTAGACAGGAGGCTGAGAACTAAGGATGGCAGTTCAAAACCAGCCTGTGAGATTCATCTAAAATGAATCACAGAAAAAGCCACAAGTAGCACTGTGGCTTATCTGGTAGAATGCTAATTTTGGGCAAAAAGGAGCACAGGGACAGCTCCTAGGCCCAGAGTTCAAACCCCAAGACCAGCAGAAAATAAAATAAAAGCCCATAAGCATGAATGAAATTGAATAGTTCAATAAAACCCACCTTCCTCTCAGAGATAGAAAATGTAGGTTACGGACACTTATTTCTATCAGAAGACTTTAAATTGATACTATTTTCTTGGTCAGTTGGTGATATGGTGCATTAGTAGACAATCTTTTATAATGTTTTCTTTAATTTACTAAAATATTTTACTAAAGTAGGTACAGAGGTGATGCAATTAGGATTGACTCTGAGGTCTAATGGAGAATAAACATTTAATTTAAAAAATCATTATAGGAAAGATTATCCCTGTCTAATTTCCATCCTGGAAATCCCCATATTTCCTTGCCAACATGTGACAATTTTTAGATAACAAGAACAGGTGAACACATATTTCTGAAGTGTGAGATACCAGAATCAGGTCAATGATATCTACATTCCAAGTTGTCTAAATAGCTTGGAGATTATCAATCTATTTTAATCCATCTATGCGGAAAGAATACACATTGAATTTCATTGGCACAGTAAGTTAGTGTTTTGTTCAAGGGATAAAGCTGGTCTAAGACATGTAAACAGTTCAGGAAGAAGAAGAGCCAACTCATTTCTATTTTTCACAGTTCCGCAAATAAGTTTTTACACCAGTGAGTGTCACCCTACTTTTCACTCTGAGTTTTATGATAGGTTAGCTAGTAACTAATTTCAAATCCGTAGTAAACAATATTTTGACTTCGATGCCAATATCCTTAAAGCCATATAAATACTATTTTCTTAGCCTATAACATGTATTTATTCCTGTATGCAAAGTACAATTAAATTACAAATTTATTTTTATTCTAAAATATCTGGTACCATTTGTTTTCAATTTTTAATATTCACAAAAGATGAAAATAATTTATTAGTTAGCTTTAAGAATGTTCTATTAAGTAATCAAAAATAAAATTCTATAAATTGACATTTGCAATAAGTAATGATTTGAGAACTATTACTGTGAAATGCAAATGAGTAAAACAGTGTCAGGACAATTAACATAGCATTTGTTTACATTCTTCTAGTTAATATCAGTGGCATTTATTTTCCTTTAGCTATTGCATATGATTGTTAACAAATCCATGAATTATGGTAGAAAATAAGATTTATCAATCTTCAGTAGAAAATTAACAAAATATAATTTTGAGTGTAATAAAAGATGACAGTACCTGTTTAGTGGATAGCTCCATTGCTGAGATAGTAGTTGGTTCCTAAAGAAGACAAAATGAAAGTATTTGAGAATCATTAGTCATTAATGAATTGCCCAAGGCACCATAATAAGCTTTTAGGGAGATAGAGAGATAATTTCTGTGCTCACAATGAGCACTATAACTGGGAAATAAGACACAGTAAAGAAACATGCATAAGTAGCTGTCAAATGTGGAGTGGACTAGTATATGTCTGAGACAAGCAGAAACGGTTGGATAAGTTGATGTTAGGGGAAATGAACCCCAAGATAAGGATCCAAATGTTTTTTTCTTTCTTGCGATTGTTTCTAACATATTTGTAAGATGATTTCTGTGTTGCTTTTTATGTCCCAGCTCCCCTGCCTTCCCCACCAGGGTATAACCCCTGTTTTCACTGTATTTGATGTTGGTATAATTTGTGGAGGGGAAGGGAAAAACAAATTGTTTAAATAGGGATACAGGTGGACCCATTGCAACAATGAGATGTACAAGACCTTATGTCGAAAACGAACTTTACAACTTTGGCTGGGGGGTGGGGGGGGGCCGTGTGAGGGGGAGGGAGATGGGAAGGGATAGGAAGGGGAAACTAAGGAGGCAACAATGCTTGATAAGAAATGTACTCATTACTTTGCCCATGTAATTGTAACCCCTTTGTACAGTATTTTCACAATAAAAAATATGAAAAAAATGTGGAGTGGATAAAAAGTCAACATCAGTATCAACAGGTCAAAGTGCCTGAAAGTTACCCAGTAATGTTTGTTGCTCATTGCAATAAAAGACAACTCAGTAAAAGTGTATTGAAAAGTACTTCTTTTTGGAGGTGAGAGTGTTAGGTGATTCAGGATTTTAAAAAAGTACGGTTTTATAGTCAAGCATGGTGGCTCATGTTTGTAATCCTAGGTACTTGGGAGATAGAGACCAAGATGATTTTTCATTCAAGGATAGCCAGGGCAAAAGGATCACAAGATTCCATCAAAACCAGTAAAAAGCTGGAAATGGTGCTGTGTGCCTGCTGTCATAGCTACTTGGGAAGCATAAATAGAAAAACCAAGTCATGGTCCAAGTTAGCCCTGGTATAAATGTAAGACCTTCTTCAAAAACAAAGCAAAAAGTGGTAGAGTGCTCAGGCAGTGTAAAGTCTGGAGCTTAAACCCTAGTACCACCATAAGAACAACAACAACAGAAATGTTAGACTTTGTTTCATCCTGGTTGCTGTTAAATTGCAGAGATAATTCTATGATTAGTTATCTTCATAAGCCATTTCAAAGAAAAAAACAGGATAATCCAGTGGTTGATGTTGAAGTATAAATACCCTCACTGAACCCCTTTCTTCAGGCAGGATGAGGAGATTCTTGTGACTTGGACATTGCTCATGATTTTATACATAAAACACTTAACAAATAGGTTTCGTGCATAATGTTCTTTCAAATTACTCTCATTTCTCTCTCTTTATCTTTCTCTCACAATACACACAATATCATCTTTGTTTTTTATAGTGTTTATAATTTTATGTATGTACGGGTGGATTATGCTTATACATATATACACTATAATTTATCTCTTTTCTTCTGAGTTTTCCAATTCCATTTCAAGGTACAATGTGATGTAATCCCAAATGAGGTCTTTAGGACTGGTACGAAGATGATGTTATAGAACTCATCATCACAAGACATTCTTAGTATAGTAGAAGATGACTTTCAAAATTGAGCATTGACATACCCACCAAAAACTATATTTTCATTTCATTACTCACTGGATATTTCTGGGAGTCTACCCTAAGTCTAATTCTTGCTGGATTGTTTTTGTCAACTTGACAGAGAAATCCTGGGGCAGAAAGTGAAAGATCCACAATAGGAATTAGACTCAGGACTGAGAGGTTAGGAGGAGGACAAGCAAAAGAAATTCAGATGACTTATCCATTGTTTCCCCCAGCTAGTTTGACACAGTCATTTGGGCTGTTTATTTCATTGACATATTGCAAGTGCCTACAATTACACTTAACAATGAAAAGTTCTCAATTGTTACTTTAAGTGAATGAACTCTGCATATTTATCTTTTTATTTAACTCAGTTTATTCCTCCTGTCTTATTTGTATATAATTCAAAGCCAATCATCATCTAAAGTATCTTTCCCCAACTTTGACTTTACCTGGAACTTCCTTCAAAATAATATAAATATTCTATATATCATTTTCCTTTGCTGTCTTCCTTTGAGTCTCTATGTCTAGACCTTCCTCTAGAGAGTCTACTTGTTTCAAGAGCTGAAGTTACTGATAAACCCTGCCTTTCTGAAGGGATATCTTTCTAACTGAATTTTAGTCTTAGAGTTCATATGCCACTATTATTTCTTCTTGACTAAACTTTCATTAAACTCCCCTTATGCTATTTCATCTTAGTCTTTACGCTAATCATATTATTCTGCAGCCATGCTTCACAAGCTTACCTGCCCTCACCCCCATTCTTTTTCTCATGCTGACTTCTTTGTCTTCAGATCACAACTCTGAGTTGCTAGCTACCCCTGTGCTGCTTCAGGGTTGCAAAGAATCTACTCAAGCCCTGTGTCTGAACTGAGAAAAAGGTTTTCTTACCAAATCTAAGACAACTTGCCTGAGACACAAATGGGACAAAGGATATAGAATGTGTATTAATTTAACGGAGGCAATTTAGAGATTTCCAATAGGTTTCCATTTCATAGCTTAAACAAATAATATTCATTATCAAATATAATAATGATCCACCATAAAGATAATGATGAATGTAATAACTTTGAATTGTATTTATGCCAAGATAGGACCTTTAGCATTTTGTAACATCACATCATAAAATTCAGTAGGATAACTTATCACAATCATTCATTTTTGATGGAAAAAGCTGAAAATAATATGTGGGTTTGCGTGATATTATAATAAACAAACCAGAGCAGAAAAAATTCCATGGCAATTTGGTCTTTTATAACAACCTCACATGGTAATAGTCTAAATAATGTGGCTAAATAAGCAGCTAGCATCTTGTAGATTTGCATGAAAAAAAAAAACAACTTCTTAGGCAGAACAAACTAATTTAAGTGAAGTGAGAATTAGCTGTGTGCAAATTCTTTTAAAAATGAACCTGATTAATTGTATTCATTTGTTTCATATCCATAGCAAACATCTATAAGGCCGATGAAAATAAATTATTTAATTTACAAATTGCAAAACATGAAATGAACCCTAATACACACCACATTCCGGATTATGAATTCAACATTCTTATGGTCCTAGAGTTTCTTAATTAATAGAGGTTTATTTATTATTTAGATCACAAGATTAATAACAATCTGGAATAATATGGGTTCTACACTGCCTGCAGTTGAATTTTAATAGACAATATATTAAGATGACATGCGTTTAAATGAGCTATATTTTTTTTCTTGAGAGCTCGCTGATGGTAGAAATGACTTACATTTAAAACAGATGTAGCTTCATAAGCATTTTTTTTTCATGAAACTGGCTTCAATTGCAAATTTAATTGGTGTTCAAGTAAAAATGAAATTAAAAACTTAGCAACTTTTCAGGGTTTTCTATTACTCCAATTTATCCTGTTTTTCCCAGATATTTTAATCTAGTCTCTATTAAACTTTTGCACTTGCAAAGCTTTTCAACCTGCTGATGCTAGGAGATTCTGAGATAGCTCACTGGATGCTAAGCACACAGTGCTCCTTTAGAATGAGTTGATAGAGTAGGTTTTGGAAAGTATCAATTATGTTTTACATCTGAATGAAAATTAAATGCCTTCATTTGTTTGCTCAGCTGTTCCTGGAATATTGTATAAATTGGGTCTAAAATGCATGTGTTATTGATGTAACTGCCTTGCAATCCTTTACAGGCATTATTACTCCAAATAAGCCCATTATTCCTAAATGCACTGCAAGTTGATTTAGCACTAAAGTGTTTCAAAAGCAAAACCCTTTTGAACAGGATTGGAAAGATAACCCTATACTGAAGAGTTCATGTAAAAAAATCAGCACATGTCAGGCTTTTATGTCTTTTGAATATTCAACAAGCTATAGATAAGCTATCTTAAGAAATAAGATGACAGGGCTGAGGTAGTTCATGCCTATATTCTCTACCCAGAAGCCTGAGATCAGAGGATCACAATTCAATGCTAGTTTGGCAGAAAAGTTTGTGAGACTTTTATCTGTAATTAACCGGCAAAAGCCAGGAGTGGAGGTGTGGCTCAAAATTGTTAGAGCACCAGTACTAAATGAAGACGCTGAAGGACAGTGTCCTGGCCCTGAGTTCAAGCCCCCATATTAGCATAAAACAAAAGACAAATAATCAACAACAACAATAACAAAGAAATAAGACACAGAATTTGGTTCAATCATTTTAAAGCAAATTATTTCTATAACTAGTTGACAATAGTTAACACTGACTTGCAAGGTTAACTTTTGAGAAAACATTTTAAAAAGTGTATTCTTCATGATAAAGAGAAGCTGATGCTCTACTGACTTTAACTAGCTGGTTCAGAATCAGAAAAAAATAAGATCCAAATTCAGATATCTGATTACAACTCACAGTGAACTATCAGCTACGTTTTAGCTTTTAAATGCTATTTTGAATAGCATTAGTTGGAAATCAGAATTCTTGACATTGATTCAAATGCCAACTTTCTTTCACCTCATTGCTTACTAACATTTATACTCTAAAATAGAAATTTTATGGCCAAGAAACATTTTTCTTTCTCTGCACTGATAGGGATTTAATTTTACCCAGAACAAAAATGTGTTTGAAGTCAGAGAAATCACTGAAAAGAGGGGGTCCTATTGTTTGAGTTGGTGATGGGCTGGACAGGTTAATTAATTAATCTTGAGATGGTGATGGACTGGACAGATTAATTAATTAATCTTGAGATGGTGATGGACTGGACAGGTTGAAATTCAAGAACTGATATAAAGTTTGTGTATTCAGTCGATTAAGAGCACAATGAACATGGTCCAATGTAGAAGAAAACATGGGAAATTAACAGGTTGGTTAGCATTATATATGTCTTTAAAAAACTATCCAAGGGTGTGAGGTATAAGGATGATCCTAACTCTGAACTTTGCCTATTGACCTTGTTAAAAGTATCACAGTGTCCAAGTTAACCTTTCTATTGTATTTTATTTTAAAAGAGATGATAAAAGACTCAAATAAAATGATAGAAATCATTACATTCTTTTGTTTTTCACAGTATATATCTATTATGTTGTGTTGTGTTTTTTCTTCTCTGCAAAATTAAAGTTTGACAATGAAATATTCCAATTGCTAGGACTTTTCCTGATAAAACAATTGAAAGTAAATAATTCTCTAAACTCTGTTCAAATATGTTTTGTTTACTTGAGTGTCAAAGATATTATGATGACAATATGCATAGCAAAGAGCATAGAAAAACTAGGGCAGTTTCTGTGCAAGGAGAGGTATTTCTAGTTGCAAACAAACTTTTCACAAAACTGAAGATTGCTAAGAAATTATTTCTATGCTAGCACAATATTATTTACTTATCAATAGATGTTTGGGATTGATAAAGAATTCTTTTCAAGATACTTTCTTTTTTCTTCTTAGTGGTATGTGGTTTTGAACTCAGGGACTCACATGTTCTAAACAAATTATATACTCCTGAAGCAATATCTTGAATTCTATTTGTTTTTTTCAGATCGGGTCTTGCTTTTTGGTAAGGCCAGCCTCAGATCATGAACCTATCTATATCGCTGCCTTCCACCTATGCTAGGTTTACAGTTGAAAACACCATGTTGAACTTATTTGTTTACATAATATCATTCTAAGTTTTTTTTTTTTGCCTGTGCTGTCCTGAACTGTGATCATCATCATCTACTCACTTTGAACATCTAAGATTAGAACATGTGCCAGCACCAAAAATATATTGCAACAGAAATCTCACATATAAGTTGATTGTGTAGTTCTCTGGAAAGCAGAAAATACTAACAAAATAGAATAGAGGTCAAATATTTTACAGGCAAGAATGTTGGCTTTCAATATCTCATGATTTTGTTGAAGGTCATTTTAACAGTTCAGCTTAAATAAAATTCCTATTTATAAATTGGAGTGTGTGTGTGTGTGTGTGTGTGTGTGTGTGTGTGTGTGTGTGTGTGTGTGTGTGTGCGTGCACATGCATGTGCCACGCTTATGTGCAAATTGGTTCTGGAGCTTGAACTCAGGGACTCAGTAATGTCCTTGAAATTTTTACCTAAGGCTAGAGCTCTACCACTTGAGTCACAGATCCTCTTCAAACTTTTATTTTTTCAAGTTTGTTGGAGGTAAAAGTCTCAAGGATTTTCCTGCCCTGGCTGCCTTTAAATTGCAATCCTAGCTTCCTGAGTATCTAGGATTTACAGGTGTGTGCCATCAGCACCTTGTTGGATTTTTTCAAAATATATCAAAGTACAAAAGCAAGATAGGATATATAAACTTAAAATCTAAAGATATGAAGAATAAAAATTTACTAGAATACAGTTTAACTCAAAAATATGCATATTTTGTTCACTGAATCCCTGAAAAATGGAGAGAGAGAGAGAGAGAGAGAGAGAGAGAGAGAGAGAGAGAAAGTATTCTAAAATGTCTTCCCTTGACTTTAAACAATTCTACAAAGTAAACTTTAATTACACTAATAGATAATAAGTCAGTCCTGGAAACACAGAGTAACCTGAAATTTACATATTCTCAGGGGTAAGATTTTCAAGATTTATCTCTGTGCTACCAAAAGTTAGTACCATCCTTGTCCCATGACCCACATACACGCATATGCCCCTCCTCCTGATAAATGGCCTCTGTTTGATTATGCCTATCAACTGAAGGGTGTAAATAAAGAAATCAAGATTAATTTGAATAATAAAGTCTAAAAATAATTTTACATTTCTCAGGGTAGTATACTGTTGTGTCTCATAACTATATTAGTAACAGGTGGCAATATACATCTTCAAATGTGCACAACTGGTAACCTTTTGTTTTTCTACTAAAGGTACCAGATTAGCAGGATAAACTGCTGCCATTACCAATTTATATTCCCATTCTCTATGTGCATACTCTAATCCTGGACATCTTGTAGAAGGCCCTTATAATCTATAGGGTCCCCAATTTCTATTTTGTATTAATATGGTTTCATTAATTCATTTATAAATGTTGATTACAAATAAACCTTAGGCTCTGAAAATGAACACAACACAGCAATTTATAAATCCACTCACTCCCCAATGCCAATTTGCTTATGGAAACTACGTCCATTCTGTAGTGGATATCAGTCCATTTGGATAATTGTTTTGCTAAAATTTATAGGCTGAAGTTTCAATGTGCTTGTTCCCTGAGGGAACTCCTGTGTTATGGAAAAGGCTAAGAATTAGTTTTCACCCTACATCCAATATAAACTATAAATAAGGGCAGAGTGCTTGGGTTTAAGAAGCCAGAATGAGAGTTTTACTAATTTGGAGTTTTTAAATCAAGGGTTTGTAGGCATACCAACTAAAGATATCTCATTTTGAGCTTAGCTGATTGAAATCAATAAAATACTATTAACAATAATAGGTTGACCACAGAGCTTCCACTATCCTATTTCATTACATGCCCATCTCTAACTCTCTAATTTCTTGGTGAATTAGGGGTTATTCCTGCTCCTTTGCTGATAGGAAACTCAGAAAGTCTGTTAAATATTCCAAGCAATTTAACAAAAATTTCATTAAATAAATAAATATATATATATACATATATACATATGTATATCTACATCTATATCTATCTATATATATATGAAACTGTCACATTTTACTTCACTTTGTCCTCACATTATTACTGAGTACTGAGCCAATGTGAATTGCCCTGGTTTAGAAATATAGGGTTAAGAGAAGTTTTGGGAAGATTTTGCTTACCAATTAATGTTGAATTCATTGAAAACGTAATCCAACACATTCATTTTATAGATAAGCTATCTGAACTGCCTGGAGATGAAATTATTCTCTAATACAAATCTTTAAAAATATATACCACTGAAGTTGAAAGACTAGACCTAATGAGTTGTTTACTTTCTGCCAATTCAAATTTATTGTGCAGTTATAAATATCCCAATATGAGTTGACCTCCCCAAATAATCTCTTTGAAGTCTCACAAATAATTTATGCCAAAACGTATGTCAGTTCAGATGATACCTATTGTCTAGCTTTGTAAAAGAAACATCAGATATAATCTCTACATTACACCCCTTCAGTTCTTTCATTTTCTATTTTCTGTAGCTTCAACTTCAATGCCTCAGAAATTTACCTGTGTTCTATGGCACCGAACACAAAAGGACAAACATCTCTATATTTCTTAAGTGTGCAGACTAGGAGTTTACAACAAATTTGCTGCTATTAATATGAAATCTTCAAATTTACTTTTGCCAAGAAATGATTTAAGAAGATACAATGAAACAACTTGTGAATGTGATTGAAATGTCTTTATTACTCTGTCATCCAGAATGTATTTCATTGAATGAAATCAAAAAAGCTACATATTGTTCCAGCTATACCATCAAGTGTATGTGTGTGTGTGGGGGGGGGGGAAGATTTGCAAGGGGGAGGAGTTTACTCATTGAAGTAATGCATATAAATAATATAAAAGGGTAAAACATATATTTTTTATCATTAAGAAAACAAAACTTGAGCCAATACTATCTTTTTTCATGTATTTAGATTTAAAGTACATTGAAAGTTTCAAGGTTTATTTTGACTAGTGTCTGGCTTCTAATTGACAAGCTAATTAGAAAGGTATGTTAGATTACTTGTCCATACCAAATTCAGCATGCAGTTGTCCTGGGGGAAAGATACACACTTGAACTTGTTGACACTTGAAATTAAGCAGCACTCACCCGAAAAACTGTCATTTCTTCAAGCAGAACTTCTTCTAAATCATGCCATGTCTCCTTAGGAATCGAGACTACTTTAAGAACGGTACCAATATCTTTGGAAGAGAGGAAAAATAAAGGCTGTCACTTAAAGAGATCTTAACAGAAGTTAGAGCTAATGAAAGAAATTGAGATGTGTCCCAAAAAAGAACATTTTGACTTGCGTCTTCCTTTTAATTTGTTTTGTTTTGTCAAAATATTAGAATGCATTTCAGACAATTCTACATGTGATCAGCTATAAAGACAGATATGCTGGATTCATACATTGTTTTGGTGAATGGCAACTCTTTTGTACAACTACCTAAAGAAATAAAAGGTATTTTTAAAAGCCCTGAATTTTAAGAACTATATTCTATTGAAGGTTTTATCCTGAAATCACGTGATTGTAAAATATAACATTATTAGCACTCCAGAAATTGGCATGTTGGAGTGAATTTCTGTATTATTAATTTCAAAATCTCATTAATTGTGAAGTATCTCAGAAGAAAAGAAAACTAGCTATAATATCAGTCTGATGTGGTAACAGGTTTTCCCACTTCTATTATGAAATGACTGTGTTCTGTTAAAGATGAAATATAGATGAAAAATGTAGGAATGTTGTTTAGCACTGGGCAGTCAGAGCCTGGCTGCTCATCCTGTCGCCTGAAACTCTGTAACACTGGAAGCCCTTAAAGAGAACTCAATAATTACACAGTGAGGAAAGACAATAACATGATTCCTCAAGATAACCACTCAGCACTACGTATTACAGTAATTTTTCACTAATGCACCCAATGGTAAATCAATTTTAAGGCATAGAAGACATTTCAAATTCACATAATTGAGTACATTTTGTAGATATACCAAACAATTTAAAAGTTTTCATTATTGATCATTTTAGTGGTAGGAGTTATCACATTTATTCAGCTACTTAAAACAATATTAATTTTTCAAATTGTATATTCTACTGCTTGACAGAAGGGTCTTTTTAAACTAAAAATTTGACTTTTCAATATCCCATTACTGGGTAAATTTGATCAACAATTGTTTATTAGCTTCAAATGGCTTATTTTCATCAAATTTAACAGAATATTTTTGAGGACACCTTATAAGAAAGAACAAGTTACCATAATAAAAATAACTCAATGTACTTATACCATTGACAATGATTTTTATGGTGATCAATAAAGGCTACCAGTTTATCCCTTGTACATTTTAAAGGTCTCTTTTAAGATGATCCTTCTATGTTTACAAGACCCTAGACTACTCATAACACCAAAGATTAAAGGGAAATTAAGTTAATCTACCCAGTGCTTATGATCAGATCTCTAGTGTCTAAACACAACTTTATCTGTACTTCAGATCAAATTTTATGGAGTAATATTTCAAACATTTTCACACAAATTGAATCAGATTACTCAACTAAGATCAATATGCTATGATGTGAAACTTAGTTAAGAGATAAAATTACTGTAATCAATTTACTTTGCTGACAACTGACCCTGGTCTGTATTGACCTACAGCTGTCCACACCATCAGACCTTCAACATTCTCATGAAATTGGTGCCTTTAAAGACAGTTTGTGTCAGAGAAGGATTGAAGGCTTGTGACTGGCTGTCTTTGGTAAAATTCCCTAAAGCAAATTTGTTGCTTTGAGGGTGGGTAAGAGGTTTTTGGAGAAGTTTTAAGCCAAAAGTGAAGAAACATATATATGTATATGTATGTATGTATATATATATATATATATATATATATATGTATGAGAAACTGACCATCAATTATAATTACTGTATAGAAAGATTCAATTTTATTTGCATTGGCAGATAAAATAATGTTTATTGAAGAAATACTATATAATCATATATTTTCTAGCAATCTGAAGTTGGTGCTAATAATAATCCATTGACTTTTATGGGGCCTTGAATCTCTTTAGGAGTCTTTTATTTCATAGAGAGAGTTTCTTACCTGTGAAAATAGACTGTAATGTATTGCTCAGAATTTAACACTTACACCTGATAGCATAAGTGTTTCATAACTTTGTTATAAAACTTTAATTCTTTAAAACACTGCACAGTTGACATTCTTTTGTAGTTAGCATATTATTTTTGTGTTTCTCACCAAGGAAAAATAAACATTATTATATAAGGTTCCAGTGGAGAAATCACTTCATTTCCCATTGATTTATGTAAGTTAACAAGTTAATGGATGCTAGAAATGTACTACCTTGAAATTTGACCCTAAATAGCTAGTTTCAGATTTATAAATGATTCTTTCCAAAATAGTATTACTAGTAAAAGGAGCCAAGGAAAATAAAATAATACATCATAGTAATAATATAATCAATTCTGAAAATACTCAGAAATTTTTGTTTGCAATTATAGTTACTAAAAAGTCAATGTTAAAATATTTGTAGATGTGTCTAATGATAGATTGATTCTTTTTTTCTTTTACTTTTTCTCCACTAAGTGGTAGAAAAAAAATGAACAAATCTTGATAGTTTTGGAAGTTTTTTGGAAGTTCTCATCAGATGACCATTTTAAGGTTCAGACAATTTTGCATTCGATGACTATTACTGATTCACATGTAAATTTCAGATATGGTTAGAGCAATATAAATTTGTTCCCAAAAGTCATTGATCACAAGAGTTTAATTCAACTCTCAACAATAATTGTTCACGTAATCTTTGCTTGATTTTCATGTAGTTCCGTGAAACTGAAAGGTATTTTCAATTATATGTCTTTACTTTTCTAAAAGGATAATGAATTAGTAATACTCAGAATTTTAACCTTTGATGAGAGATGAACTATATCTTGAAAATGTCTAGCAAACTTACTTTCAATATTTAATATGGCTAATCAGTAAAAGATAGTGTTCTAGAAGAAAATGGCCAACAGAAGCTACACCTTTACCTGTTCCAATAAACATGACATCGTACTGGCCATCTTCTGCATCCACTCGATCTACTACAATTTGAGTAAACTGATAATTGACATCTGTTTTGATCATTATTGGACGGTTGTTAATAGGAAAAACTGGATTGTACATAGCTGGATGACTTCGTGCAAAAGTTATAACATCATCAGGAAGGTCCTTTGTTGAGTCAAATCCACCAAATGTTTTACTTGGACACTATGAAGAAAAAGACAAAGAGAATACTTTTTATTTAACCACTAATGAAGAGGACCAGGAATTACATAATAGTGCATGACCTCAGTGGTTTAGGAATCTAACCTGTGATTATTGTGTTACTTATATTTTACATTAATACATTCAATCAACAGTCATTAGTGATTAATAGTTAATATTAACTGAAATTAGTAAATGTAAACATCAGTACTTATTTCTTAAGCATATAACTTCTGTTGTTGTTTTTTTTTTGTCGGTCATGGGGCTTGAACTCTGAGCCTGGGCACTGTCCCTCAGCTTTTCAGCTCAAGACTAGCGCTCTACCACTTGAGTACAGCGCCACTTCCAGTATATAACTTCTGAAAGGAATTATGTCACCATTTCTTCTGAAGAACTTGCAAATTCCTCCCATGAATCAGTGTATAGGAAAAGTCTGAGGCTTTTGTAACTACACAACCAAGTTGTATATATACAGTGGTATTTGATATAATAAATAGAATAGAATAAAATAAAAACTAAATGGAAGTAATGATTGGATTGGAGAAAGTCAGAATGATTTTCTAATCCTGCAAACACCTGCATCACAGGGTAACTGTGATGACCAACTAGAATGGAATGGACATCATGATTAACCCAAAGTGATATCGGCCCTACAAGTCATAAAAACTTCATTGTTGTGTGCTGGCATAATGTCATCTCAGGAGAGAAGCACTCAATATAAGGCAGCCAAGCAGAAATGAGGAAACTGTAATGTGGCTCATTTCTCCACATTTAATTATGTGGTACACATATTCATAGATACAGTATCTCCAATCTCATGCTTTGTGCTTTCACACTTAAATAATTTCTGCCATATAATGTAAGAGCTAGAGAGACAAAATGTAATTAAGAGAAGATACTGATCTTACAAGAAGCTTAGAATTAGAAATCAATTGTCTCTGACATTACGTTGAAAAAAACATTAATAATTCATGAGGAATGAAGTAGATCTGCTTGAAATGAGATTATATATGCATCTATATTTATGTATGTATTTTTCTAAGAATATACACAATACAATAATATAATAAAAACCTAACAATTTACTTCTGTTTTTAAGTAGATTATCAAATCATTTAACTTTATTATGATATCAAATCACTATAGAAAACCCTTAAAGAAGCAACAAAGCCTATCTAATGATGTTTAAAATTATTTGTGTGCATCTTTTCTATCAAGTAGTAAAAATAGGTTGCAAAATGTTAATATTCTATTATCAAATTATAAAGCAAAGAGATTTATTTTAGTTCTCTGTACAATTTATCTTCTTGCTTTACTGTCTTTTTACTTAATACAGCCTAGCTAATATACAGAAATAATAACATCGTTTCAGAAGCCTGTGATTTTTTTCCAGTCATGTTGATGGAATGACATTTTCTCAGTGGGCACCTTTTAGCACTAATAAGCTTGTCCAAGTGAATTTTATTCAGAGTGAGATATCATCTCTGACTCCTCAATTAGGTAACTCTTCACTTGTCCTCTTTCTAACACTTAGTGGTTTTGATTTATGTCTCATAATAAGTACCTGTGAATAACATGAGTGTACTGAACCTCCTGAACTGACTACTAGATCTATTACTTACAACTCTACACTCGCATCTCTACACTGATGAGATACAATACTGGCCATTGAAATCTGTAGTTATATAAATAAAGTTTTGACTATATCTATATCTCCCTATAAAATTGCTTTTAGAATCTACAGTATAGCAATGTCTACCTTAGTTCTACTTGCTATTTTTAGTTCCTCATTGTATAGATTCAGATAAAACATTGAATTTATTTCTGTTTCTCAAAATAATAGCAAATGGAGTTCTACCACGCATGATGAAGTGAAGTTGATTCCTATTTAGCACAAACTTACTTTCACCAATCAAAAGTAAGAATATAAACCTGTTACTAATGAAGTAAAACTAATCTGCCATTAATATGGAGTTAATATTTATTTTTCATACAAAACCGATTTGGCTTCTTGTAACCAATAGATATTTCATCTTAGTGATTATTCTGAAATTCTACTTTAGCTTTGGTTACAAGATTAATCAGCTAGAAGCAACTATTATGGAGCACATTTCCACCACATCTCACTCATAAAAGAAGTCTGCCCATTTGGTTCTTATTTCCCCAAATCTATTGCTAATAAAGGCAAGCATTAACATTTACATTAATACGTTGAACGGATAACTCAAAACAGCTCATTTCATCTGTTAGATGTCCAAACTACTTACAGTTCCCGGCCGTGGATAGGGGACTCGCCCTTGATATGGCACCCACTGGTAGTTGGGACCATCTCTGTGAGCATACGGGCCAAGGAACACCCTCCGTACATCACTCATACTGTACATGCACACAGCCGACCCCTTGAAGATGTTGCTGAAAAAGAAACCCCAAAGAGGTACTCAATATGGCATGAAAATGGTTATAAACTTTCAGGTATTAATAAACATAACATGTATATTTTTTCTTTTTTTTCTTTTTCTTTTTTTATTAATGTTTTTTTATTGTGAAAATGCCGTACAGAGGGGTTACAATTACGTGAACAAGGCAATGAGTACATTTCTTATAAGCATTGTTGCCTCCTCCTTAGTTTCCCCTTATAGAGTTTACATATATATATGTAAACTCTAATTATCAAAGATATTGTATGGAATGATATTAGCTCATATGTATTGTATCAATGCACAAGAAAATAAGCTTATGATTTCTCTAAGCTAAAAAGCATGAGTGACATATTTATTGTTCATAGAATATACATATATATATAAACTCACATCAAACTACTGAAGAAATTAATATTTGATTTTTAGTGTACTATGAAAATAGAATACACACTTTATATAATTCTCAATCAAAATTATTGAAACTGGTGAACTTCTAAGCAAAAATGTTTAAGTAGAGATTTTATAAACTGAACCTGATAGAAAATGAATTTTCTGAGTTGAAGTATGTGTGATTTTGTGTGTGTGTGTGTGTGTTTGCATACATGTACGTGTGTGCTGGTACAAGAGTTTTGAACTCAGGGCCTGGTTGCTGTACCTGATTATGTATGTATGTGTATATGTATGTATGTATGTAAGTGTGTATGTATGTATGTATTTAGCTCAAGGCTCGCACTCTATCACTTGAGCTGCAGGTCCACTTCCAGCTTTTTTGGTGCTTTTTTGGGTCTTGTGGACGTCTTGTCCAGGCTGGCTTTGAACTTCTTTCCTCAGATCTTAGCCTCCTGAGTATCTACAATTAAAAGTGTAAGCCACCAGTGCCTGGCTTTACCTTTTTATCATTTTAAGCATTAAAGTCACAAAACTATACTAGATCAAATAACTAAGTTTGACATTTGTGAAGGCACTTCAAATATTATCTCCTTCCAATCCAGACAATAGCTTTAAGTGAGTAGTTATTATGCCCTGGTAAAAATGGATAATTATACCAATTATTCACATCATTCTACTAAGCAAACATCAGGTAAGTGAAGTAAACTGAAAGTCTAGCTGTCACAGCTTACATTTAAATGCAGTAAGACAAATACAGCTTATGTGAAGATATTAAACAGCTGTGCACATTGACAATATGGAATTCTTATCTTTTAACTGATCTCTCCCCATAGAAAACTGCCTGCCTATAAATCAGACCAAATAAAAACCATGTGTTCCTAAGAGTTTATTATTTGAAACTGCTCCATGTGGGTGCTGCTAGGAAGACCACAAGTGTCCTGAGGGAAGGAGCTTGTAAGTACTGTGTCAGGCTAGCTTCTCTCCAGCTGTATCAATTACTGAGCACAGGGTTGTAACTTACAATAAATAGTAATAGGATTTGATGTTTTGATGATGGTTCTAATAACAAATTAACCTTTGTTAGATTCATCATCTTTTAACCCAATGTTTATGGTAGATACCCCTTATTGCTCTATATTTTGCTAGTACACAGTTAAAATCAGACAGCATCCAAAGGCTTTCTGACTATCATGTATAGCTTTTATGACTAGTTCACCAATACATATCCATTGGAGAGGTAACACTGTCTTGTCCATGAAGTCAGTGGAAAATAAGCTGGGGATCCTTACAATTAGTGTAGCATTAACATGACTGTAGGACTTGTGAAAACTGGAAATTTAGCCTATATAATCTATAGAATTCTATAGAACAATTCTACAGAATCTATAGAATCAGACATTCTGGGAGATCATTGGATAAATATGAATTTTTGTTGGCATGATTTTTCTAATTTAAATTGACTTCTTTGGCTGGTTACAAAATACAAGGACCTGAACTTTAATATGCTCTCTAAGTGGTTCTGGAGCATAGTCAAATCTAAGAATCATTGTATAAAAATGGAACAATGAATACATGCTCAATTTGCACAATCTTTAGATATCTTGTATATAGAATCAGTAAAAATATGTTTCTTATTTGTACATGTAAATGCTTTTCATAAGACAGGGGCTTTGTATGCAGTTCCCATGCTGGAATTACATATATGAACCATCATAACCAGAGTATTAAAGTTTAAATTAGAGGAAAATATCTAAGTATTTACAATGGCTTCAATGGTCACAGAATAAACCAGTATTGGACACTGCAGATAAATGTTCTCTATATGCTCTCATGGACATGGGGGTCACCGTAGTTCTTTTGATTTTTAATTCAAGTTATTTTTTACTTAAAATGTGTCACCAATAGCCCTGTCTAAATTCATATGAAGACACATGTTTCTTTCAACAAGTTCAGGTAAGGTGAACTTTATGCTGAAAATAATGATGAGGAGTTCGTTTTCAACACAGTGTCTTGTACATCTCATTGTTACAATGGGTCATCCTGTATCCTTATTTAAACATTTTGTTCTTTCCCTTCTCCTCCCCAGATTAGAAAAATTTATAAACAAGATGCAGGGCACCGGAATCAAATACAGTGAAAACAGGGGTTATACTGTGGGGGAAGAACATACAAAAGAAACAAAAAGAATCACATAATACTTAATAAATACGTTAAAAGCAATAACAAGAAAGAAAAAAACACTTGTGTCCCAAACGAACTTTACAACTTGGGAGGGGGGCTAGGGAGGAGTTGAGGAGATGGGGAGGGAAGGATGGTAGGGGAGAAACAAAGGAGGATGTAACAATGTTCGATAGGAAATGTACTCATTACCTTACTCATGCAATTGTATGCCCTCTGTATAGTATTTTTTCAATATAAAACATATATATGTATATATATATATATATATATATATATATATATATAATGGTGAAGAGACAAACAGGAAAAAATCTTGGGAAGGAGAAGAGAAGGCTGATAAAAAGGAAAGAGGGGATGGAAGGAGGAGAGAGAGATGAACAGCAGGATGAATAGAGCAGGAGGAGGAAGAAATGAAGTCTGTGTATTAAACAATACATTGTAAAAACTATATAAACTTAATACTCAGATTTTTGTTACTTGGTTTTATGAGATTTTGTTGTTGGTGGTGGTGGTGGCTTTTGTGGGGCTTGATCTCAACTCCTGGGCACTGTCTCTGAGCTCTTTTGAGCAGGTTAGTACTCTACTACCTTGGGCCACAGCACCACTTATGGTTTTCTGGTGGTTAATTGGAAATGAGTCTCATGGACTTTCCTGCCTCAGATCTCAGCCTGCAGAGTAGCTTGAATTACAGGAATGAGTCAAGGGCACCCAACATGCATTCATTTTATACGATAACATGTGGATTACAAGGTGGCCAGTAAAAGCTAAGTTGTGCCTCAAAAAAGAGAATAATTAGATTTATAAAGAGAGTCTATTTACTAACTTCAAAAGCTATATAGCCAGGAGAGTAGTCCATGCATGTAATCATTGCTACTCAAGAGGATGAGATCTGAAAATCATGGTTCAAAACCACCTCTGGCGGGAAAGTCTGTGAGACTCTTATCTCCTATTAACTACCAGAAAACTGGAAGTGGTGTTGTAGCTCAAAGTCGGAGAGTGTTAGCCTTGAACAAAAGAGCTTAGAGACAGTGCCTATGCCCTCAGTTCAAGCCCCATGACTGACAAAAACAGAAATTTAAAAAAAACACAAAAAACAACTAAATAATTAAAATATAGTCATTTGTATTAGTTTCACTTGAGATCATTTTACTTGTAGTAAGCCTAAAAGTGTGTACAGCAATTCTATAGTCTTTTCAATGCAGGAAAATATGTCTGACTCTATGGAAAGTGGAGCACAATGAATAGAAAGAGAAAGAAGTTGCTTTGTTTCCCTATCTACTCTCTCCACGGGTACTCATGCAAACCATTAGGTTTGAAAGAGAACTTTCTTCTCAGTGACATTGTTAGTATCTAAGAACATCTCACTTGCCTTTCATCTCTTCCATATAGTTATTGATGTAAGTAATGAAGAGATGAAGACAGGAAACTTTCAATTACGTGTGTATATACGTATTGCCATTTTGCTTGTTGTAATAACGTGTAATTAAGAAATATATATATATATATAATATGACAAGGCATTTTAATTGTGTATGTGCACATTATTTATAATTATAAAATATGTGTATTATATATATCCATTCTAAATTAAGTCACTCCACTTAATTTCCGTAGTCATGTCACGACAAACTTGTACAAATGTATATATCAATTTTTATGAAATTCTACACTTAACTCAAATATTTAAACTGAAACCATGCATAGAATATGGCATATTCTTTCTAAATTGTTTCATCTTTCTTTCTGGTGAGATTGATGACATTCTTCCCTGAAATAATTTCTTTGTATGTTTCTTTGTTTGGAAAGTTTTAACAAGGATTTATATTAGTATAAGGGGCTTAAAGTAGGGAGAAAATGAAAAAAATGAGACAAGCATTTCCTAATAACTGACTTTAACCACCCAAGTGTGTATGATAGTTCAAAGATGATTAAAGCAGCATTCTATCCAGGATTTCATTTTCACAAATTTCAGATACTTGGAAAACAAGTAAATAACATGCAGTCTCATGAACATAGTAGTGAAAGGTCTTTACCTTGATGTTGTAAACACTGCATAGACAATTGGATTTTTGGGATCTTTAGAGTTCATTAGGAATACATCCTCTGTTTGAAAACAAAATTAGGGAGAATTGAGTTTGCTGTAGTTGTGGCAAAGTCTGAACAAAGTCCTGTGGAAAAACCACCAGCTACTTACGTAGTTCATCAAAGTGGGTGTCAATGCCATTGGGACCTGGCACAGAGCAAACGAGCCTGGCTTTGAGAAAGGTAGTCCATTTATTCACCAGGCTCCTGTGTCCTCCAAAGTCATTCTGGCAGGAGAGGAAACCAGAGATCTATTATAGAACATGGTGACTATAGTTCATAATAGTTGGTTATGTTATTTAAAATTGCCAAGAGTAGAATTTAAGTATTCTTACCACAAAGGATCATAATAACTATGTGAGGTAATATATATCTTAATTTGCTTCAGTTAGCCATACCACAATCTGTACATAATTTAAAGTAGCATGCACATGAAAATATGTGCAATTTTTATTGTAATGAAAGAATTAGAATTCATTTCCTTTTTCCTTCTATTTCTATATTTTGATGAGCAACTGTTGCTGCTGTGTTGGTTTGGTTTTTCTCTTCCTTCTTTCCTACTTGCTAGTCATTTTATGAAATCTTAACCAACCTATGCAGCCTGGTTCACAGTATTTGTAATGCAATAGGCATTTAGTATTTATTGAGTGGATAGTAAAGGTATGCTTTATATTCTGAAAATATATCCCCTCAATAAAGCATCTTGGCATCAAATAATTTTAAAGCTTAAAGTGTTGAAGCAATTTATACTTTACAAATAGCATGTTAGGAAAATATTTGCACAAATCTTCATAAAGGAACCTCATTCCAGAGAAAATATTTTGACAGTGTCTCTACTCACTGCAAATAAAACTTAATTTTAGCTTAATGGTAGCAATAAATTCTATTACCAAGGTACATGTTTACTAGCAATTATTGTCTTTAAAAATAGTATTTATGTGCATGTAGAAACATATGTCCTTCACAAATAGAATGCTGATTTATATTTTACTTACCCGATTTCTTCTATATTATGAATCTGTTTAACCTCTGTAAATAATACTTTTTAAATGTTTGAAAGTTTTTGAGGAAAAGGCTCTCATTTCTTACCTAGTGATTATATATTACCAACAAATTTTAAAAGCCTAGAGATAGCTGGATCACGATTGGTCAGGAAAGAAGTCACCATAAATACAGATTTATAAAAAAGGATATTAAATAAAGACAACATCATATTTTAATGGAGCTGGCTTTATGATTTTTATTAGTTGAAAGATGATCTACTACACCTTACTAGTTTATTTTATTCCCAGTGTGGATATTGCCACTGTTTGTACTGCAAAGAATGAGGTAGTACTTCCATCATCTGTTCTCATTGATAATATTGATTCATCCTTAAGTATGTCTGGAGAAAATTTTATTCTAGGTATTTAGTTTAGGTATCTAATGCAATAATAATCCTGATGCCTTGTCACCCAATTGAATTACCTCAGAAGGATAAAGCTCTACGATTTAAAATTTTATGTTTGTGTGTCTATGTATGAATACACACAAGTATATAGACTAGCGCAGTTAACTTGTAAAAAAAAAACCTGTGATTTTCTCTTAATATTAAATTAATATTTCAATGAGTATTCATCTAAAATCGACTACATGTAGGAATTATACTAAATCTGAAAATATCAAATGGTATAGACTACCTAATGATATTTTATATCTTTATAACCAGGAAAATGGTTTTTTTACATGCTAGAATATCATTTGGACAAAATCACTTAATGTCATTCTAAAGTAATTAAGTAACATGGGTTATCACACCAACTCTACGTGGGAATTTGACTTTGAAGATCTATTTAAAAGCTATGGTGATGTACTTTTAATTACTTTTAAATATTTAAGTACTTGTTATGATATGTTTTCATCCATTTCAGGTATATTTTCCATTGAAATGGTGCCTAGATGGAAAACGAAAGTAAATAAAATTTGGACAACATCACACAAGTTTTCCTCTCTTTAGCTCACCTTGCATATCTGACCTACTCTAGCATGAGTAGCTTTTCCAGAATGTTCTCCATCAATTGCATTTTCACGGAAGAAAAAATAAACTTTGTCATCTTCAGGGTTGTCACTCTCAGGAATGAGGTGGGCACTGATGAATCTTGGATCTAAGAGGTGAATTACAGCAAACACTTTAGCTCAAGGTTAATAAATCATACCAACCACTACAGTTCATCTTTTTCATTATAAGTGGGAAAAAATAGGTTTCCATCACTTCTTAATATTTATCATCTAGTAGTTTGTCTCCTATTCTCTTGTTAGTCTCTTCCTTCTTTAACCGAACACATTCTAATTGCTCATCCCTTGTCCTCTTAGAATCTTCTGGTCTCCTGAACCTCTAGTAAAATTGGATTCAAAAATCCTTTGTCCTATGTTTCTTTGGGCCTGGCTTACTTCTCTTAATATAATTTCCTCCAAATCATTCCATTTCCTAACAAATGAGGCAATGTCATTCTTTCTGAATGGAGGCATAGAATTCCATTTTGTATATATACCACATTTTCTTGATCAGTTCATCTTCTGAGGGGCATCTGGGTTGGTTCCATATCTTAACTATGGTAAATAATGCTGCAATAAACATACTTGTGCTGGTAGCATTAGTATGGTCATGTTTCTGATCATTGGTTTCACTTATTTGCAATAACTACTATATGTCTGGGACAAGCAGAAAAGCTCAAATAAGATGATATTAAGCAAAATGAACGCCAAGAAAGGGACACAAGTGTTTTTTTTTCTTCCTTGCTATTGTTTCTAACCTATTTATAAGGTACCATGTGAATTTTGATGCTTTCTATGTCCGTCCCCCAGGGTATAACCTCTGTTTTCACTGTATTTGATGTTGGTATAATTTGGGTAGGAGAAGGGAAAAAAATGTTTAAATAGAGATACAGATTAACCCATTGCAACAATGAGATGTACAAGACGCTATGTCAAAAAACGAACTTTACAATTCAGGCGGGGTTGAGGGTGGGAAGTGGGGTTGGGGGTGTAGTTGAGGAGGTGGGATGGTAGGGGAAAAACAAAGGAGGAGGCAACAATGCTGTATAAGAAATGTACTCATTACCTTGCTCATGTAACTTTAACCCCTCCATACAGTATTTTCACAATAAAAAACATTTAAAAAATATCCTTTGTCCTACTTCCCAATCAATGATGAAGAAAATATATAAACCTAGTGAATGGTTCTGTTACAAATTCAAGTGATTTTTACTATACCAAACCCACATGTAGCGAAAGAATTTTTGGGTTACTTTTAGTTTCTCACAAACGATTGACTGCCAACAACTACTTTAAAGCAGTAAGTAATAGAAGTTTTCACTAAGAGCAGGATTTTCTAAGTTAAAAATTCTCAGAAGTGGTGAAGTAAAAACAGATATTTTATTTTGAAAGCATGAATCAACAATCAAACAGTGCAATGAGATAGGAATGGAGGTAGAAAGACCACTCTACAGGCAGTCACAGAAATGATGGTGACTTGGATGTGTATTCATGGTGAGAAGGAGCACACCAAGGTATCATTTGAAAGAAAATAGGTGAGCTTCACTTGGTAATGGGATGCTGACTGTATGAAGTGGTGAGGAAAAAATGGATATTAATGAAATATTTTAGCTGAACAATTCTTGAAAAAGAATCAGTTACTGAGATGGGAAGTTGAGAGGAAAGGCAGGCATGAATGAATGAAGAAGATGAGTGAATTTCAAAGCATTTAAAGGTGGCGCCTTGTGAGTTGGTCCCATAACATAGGACCAGAAGTGCTCTAGAGTGATGGGTATGAACTTCTACATTCAACTTCCTATTTCTTGAGGTAAGTTCAGATATTGACCATCATTCCTTTACTCTTTACTACCATTGGAACAATAAAATATTCAAATCTTTCTAAAATCTATATTTTGACATCTATATTCTGACTTCCTGCTGATAACATAAACCTGAACCTTAGCCATGAATTTTCATTTTTCTTTTTTTGTTTATTTTATCAGTCGTGGGGCTTGAACTCTGGGCCTGGGTGCTGTCCCTGAGCTCTTTAGCTCAAGATTAGCACTCTACCACCGACAGCACCACTTCTGGTTTCCTGGTGATTAATTGGGGATAAGAGTCTCCATAGCTAAGATATTGAACCAACCCAGATGTCCTTCGGTAGATGAATGCACCAAGAAAAAAAAAATATATCACATTTTGTATGCCTCCATGAGAAAAATGACACCACCCAATTTGTTAGGAAATGGAAAGATTTGGGGAAATATATATATTAAGTGAAGTAAGCCAGGCCCAAAGAAACATAGGTCCCATGGTTTCCCTTATTTGCAATAACTAGTATAGGTCTAGGAAAAGCAGAAAAGGTCAAAAGCTATGTCCATATAACCATACAAAATGGTGCTAAGAGAAACGAACAACAAGTTAGGGACACAAGAGGTTTTTATCTTTCGTGCTATTTTTAATGTATTTATAATGTACCATGTGATTTTTTTTCTTTTGTATGTTCTTCTCCCATGGTATAATCCCTGTTTTCACTGTATTTGATTCCAGTGCCCTGCTTCTTGTTTATACATTCTTCTAATTTGGGGAGGGGAAGGGAAATAACAAAATGCTTAAATAAGGATACAGGTTGACCCACTGTAACAATGAGATGTATAAGACACTGTTGAAAACAACTTTCCAACTTTGGTGGGATCAGGGAAGAGTTGGGAGGTGAGGAGGAAAGGGATGGTAGGGGAAAAACAAAGGAGGAAGTAACAATGCTCGATAGGAAAAATACTCAATACCTTGCTCATGTAACTGTAACCCCTCTGTACAGTATCTTTACAATACAAAGTCTCTTTAACTGAGAATTTTCTAATGATCAGTGTTTCATCCCTGACTTCCTTGTTTATTTTTCCCCTTAATCCCTAAATTTGTCTTTGGTCACTTGTTATTTCCTCTCATTCCTAGAAATGGCGTCATCTTCAAGTTTTCCTTCTATTATTTCAGTATTTTCAATGTTCTTATAGCTTTATTTCTCTTTGAGAAATTATTTAGTCCTGCAGATGCAAGAATCACCAAATGATCATCAGTCTTCCTTTTCTGTTTCTGTCTAATTGTGCCCTTCAAAATTCTACCTAATTTTTTCACTGAAACTAATTCATGATGCTTAGTAAGGAAATCATCAACTTTCTTTCAAACTCACTTATAAGTGGTGGCTTATGCCTATAATTCTAGCTACTTGGGAGACTGAAATTGATAAGGTTTTGGTTTAAAGCCATTCTCGGTAGAGAATTTCACCTCTTCTGAAAGAAGACTTAGATATGGAGGTGCATTTTTAATGTACTAGCTACAGGCAAGGATCATTGGAGCCCAACAGGCTTACACTCTCTATCCTGTTCTACATGCTCCTTTTGCACATTGTTCATGTTCGTATTACAGTTTTTTTTCTTGAAATAATCCCTCTTCTCTTCAACTTATATTAACTGTTCCATTAAGACACATATATAATGTTAAGGAAATAAGTATGAATTTTGCTGAACAAAATCCAAGTGTCAAAATATGATCATGCAATATAAGTTAAATTGTGGTAAGCTAAGATGGCAAGAAGAATGATGTTACTGTGACTAATAAGGCTAAAAGTGTTTTCCACATTGATCAATACTATACTTCATCTAGGTCACAAATTTGGCTTCAAGTTTTCTAGCGTAAGAAAGAAATGGGAAACTGTAGCCGGGCGCTGGGGGCTCAAGCTTGTAATCCTAGCTACTCAAGAGGCTGAGATCTGAGGATCATGGTTCAAAGCCATCCTGGGCAGGAAAGTCTGTGGGACTCTTTTTTTTAAAATAATTTTATATTGTGAAAATACTGCACAGAGGGGGTACAGTTACACGAGCAATGTAGTGAGTACATTTCCTCTCAAGAATTGCTGCCTCCTTTGTTTTTTCCCTACCATCCCTTCCTTCCTACCTCCACAACTACACTCCATCCCCATTCTTAAACTGTAAAGTTTTCAACATAGTGTCTTGTACTTCTCATTGTTTCAATGGGTAAACCTGTATCTCTATTTAAACATTTTGTTTTTTCCCTTCCCCTCCCCAAATTAAATCAACATCAAATACAGTGAAAACAGGGGTTATACCATGGGGGAGGGACATACAAAGCAACAAAAATCACATGGTACCTTGTAAATACATCAGAAACAATAGCAACAAAGAAAAACCACTTGTGTCCCTATCTTGGGTTTCATTTTGCTTAACTTCAGCTTATCTGGTCATATTGGTCATATATATATATATGTACCATACACACACACACACACACACACACACACACACACACACACACACACACGCACACACACACATGCACACACACACACATATAGCTTTTGACCTTTTCTACTTGTCCCAGACATATAATAGTTATTGCAAATAAGGGAAACCATGGGACCTATGTTTCTTTGGGCCTAGCTTACTTCACTTAAGATAATTTTTTTCAAAGTCTTTCCTAACAAATGGGGCAATGTCATTCCTTCTAATGGAGGCATAGAAGAGACTCTTATCTCCAATAAACCACTCAGAAAACTGGAAGTGGAGTTGTGGTCAAGTGGTAGAGCATTCACCTTGAGCTAAAGAGATGAGGGACAATGCCCAGGGCCAGTGTTCAAGCCTCACAACCGAAAAAAAAAAAAGGAAAGGAAAAGAAAAAAAAAGAAAAGAAATGGGAAACTTTGTTGTCAATTACATTATTCACAGTATACCTACAGTAGAAAATAAATGAAACTAATAATTACGAATGTTAATTAACTTTTCCACAAATTTTCTTTCCTTTGAGTTCCTTTCCTTTCATCTTTCTATAAATATATTAGCATTCTGGAAAGTACCTCTTTTCCTACCTGCACAGATATATGTTGTTTGTATGACAGGGAAAGAAAATTTCCTTCTTTTTATATTATCCACATTTTCATATTTGCCTTAGGATAGACATGTTTCTTCCTCTATTTCCAGCTCTCTCCCTTTCAGTTTCTGCATATAATAAAGTTTCCTCTAAGCTTATTCTTCATCTTTCCCAGTGTACCACTCAAACGTATACCTCTTCCCTCCTGGCAGACGTGTTCAATCTGTTTCCCCTGCTTTTGGCCTCACCT